TATATATATATATAGAATTAGACCTTTTCTACTATTACTTCATTGAGAGTAAAGAGAATTTCATTCTTTCTTTTATTGTCGAATTTCCTCAGCAATAACGAAACGAATTCTACTTTTTGGTCCAAAGATTTTTCTTTTCTATAGAATATCAATAAATTTTTATAACAAACTTGATTCCTACCTGCCTTTCATTACTCCTATACACTTAAAGTCTAAGAAAAAGTAAATGACTCTTTAATATGATACCAGCAGTTCTCAACTCTTTCTATTTTGATGGACTCTAGCTAGGTTTCATAGACTTGCTGGTATATGACTGTACTAATCACTCTGATGATCATTCCAAGAGCCATCTTTTCTTTGAAACCTTTCTAAGAATTTACCACTAGTACCATCCAACTTTGTGGAAAGCATGTATTGTCAGTCCATAATCCTGATTTGGATTGCATTTGCTTCCATAATCTTTAAAATATTATAGCTCTATATAGAATCACAGACATAAAACTTTAAGAGATTCCAGAGGTAATATAGCCTAAAATTCATGTTTTAAATATAGAAAACCTTGATATCTGATTCTAACATTCTAAGTAGATAGCCATTTTAGGATAAAGGGATACAATGATAAATTTGGGTGAAATTTTCTTAAAGATTTCATAGTAGGTATTTTTGACTTAAGTTGTTCAGGATGGATTATCGAGGATGACATGTTCACAATATCATTTAGTAAAATATACAAAATGAAATTCTATGTGTCTGATAATGAAATGATCCCTCATGTATCCTACATATATGTTCCGACTTGACATTAAGTATTCAGCTTCAAGTGGGTTTCAGTCTATTATCTTAAAATGTTACCTGTAACAAGCCTTCAAGTGATGCCTTATGAAGTAGTACTTGAGTCTACCTTTGAGTGTGTGTATGATAGTCATGCAGACAAGCTTAGGGTGAATGAGAATCTAAGCTAAAAAATAGTGTTGTTTATCATTAATGATGACATTTTACTTGAAATGTGTTTCTACATAAACATGGACAGTTCTTCTTTGTTTTACATAAAAGGAAATTCAGTGAAAGATGGTGCTATTTTAAAAACTTATGTGTATCTGGGGCAATGCAGAAAAAAAATCAGCAAAGCACAGAAGACCTCATTGGTTGCTAAGTCTACATTTTTATCAATTCATCTATTTTAAATGCAATGATGTCTTTTTTGTGGTTAGTCAGCATGATTATTACCATCACAACAGGAGAATATGTAATGCAATGAAAAGCACATTATCTGTGTGAGAATCTGACAGAGACATCCAAAATATTCAAATTAATTACTGACATAAATTTTTGATAATTTATCTACACTGAATCTCAGTTTCTGTTTTTGGGAAGGGAATTTATAGGCTAATCATGCTCAGATATTAACAGAAGAAATTTATGTACAGGTTTTATATGGGAAATTTTCAATACCTACATATGTCTAACTGCTAAAATAACACTTTTGCCTCTAGGTTTGAGGCAATTTACTTTAATTAAGATTTTATCTTGAGTGAATCTTGGGGAGATTACAAAATTAGAGCAGCTTCTGTGAATTGGAAATGTATCTTAATTGAATGATGTTTAATAAAAATTGTGGAAACATTTTATGATGTCAAAACACTTTGTTTCTCTTGCCTTGTAGGAGTCTAAGTTGCCAAAGGATTACCTTGCACAAAAATCTGTTCTTCTCTTTCGTTTGTAACTCTATTGTAACAATCATTCACTTCACTGCAGTGGCCAACAACCAAGCCTTAGTGGCCACAAATCCTGTGAGTAAAATGAAGCCTACCTTTTAGGTTCAAGGGGCTGGTGGGGAAGAGAGGGAGAATCAATGTGGGGATGAGTGTCTGGTGCACGTAGCATGTGTCTAAGTAAATAGGCATGTATGTTTTCAGGACTGATATACAGAGTATATGTAGCTATATTACAATCCAGAAAGATAATTTATTGCTCAATATTCCCTAAAATATAAAAAGCAAATAGTAAAAGGAGGAATATATCTATTTCAATTATTTATACATATTATATAGATTATCACTTCATTTTATGGCCATACTCAGTGGAATGATGACTTTATGATAATTACTCCATCCAATGTGAAAAAACAATCAGTGTGACTAACTTTGCATAACTAGAAACAACAATATGTGAAAATAGGAACTTCAATTTGAATTGTACTTTTTGTATCACGCTGACTTTAAAAAGAATATAAAACCAGGAAAATAATGAATGATACATGTCCTATTTCAATTAACATAAAATTTTAAAAAGATCTATCAAACCTTCATTGTCTCAAACATTCTGAGATTGTTTCCTTGCAAGTCATTTTTTTTTAAAACACAAGTTAAAATTGCCTTATATAATTGTGCATATTTTATGCAAGCTATGTGCCTGTGTATTTTAATTAAAATATACACAATGATGACATATAAATTCAATTTTTATGATTACCTAATTTCATAATGTTTGTAGTTTTTACTATAATTTTGGATATGGATTTTTTTTGTGTGTGTGTGTGTATGTAATGTAGTGTCATTGTGTGTGGGTGTGTGTTTTAACATTATCTAGTTACTGAAATCAGATAAGGAAAGGGATTTTCACTCAATGGGTCAATAAACAACACTCTCATATGTGTTTTATGTGTGTTTTTAGGGTAATTTCCAAAGTTCTAAAATTCCCTTCATTGTTTGCTCATGTGCATCCGGATTGTTTAATCTTGTGTATGTTCCACCCTAAAGTCACTGGGTTAGGAAACACACTGAGGTATAATTAGCAATATAAAAAACTGGCTAACATCCTGTCATTTTAGAATAAATTTCTCTAGGACAGGAGATTCAGAGTTTTGTCACAGAGTTGTAAAGCAAATTTCTAAACCTTGTATGTTTGTTACAAAAAATGTTTTGTTTAATACACGAAACACAAATTACAGTCTAATTATTTTAATATCTTCTTGGTAAAGTGTATTATTTATTTTTATCATCAATGCCATGTGTAGCAATGTATTTTTCTAAAACATGTTATAAATTCTTATCCAAATAGTTTATAGATTAACATTTTGTTGAAATCAAGAAGCCCAATTTAAAATGATTGTGCTGTATACATGTAGTAAGAATTGTAAAGCATTAGACTGTCATTTTTTTTAAAACTCAATAAAAAAGAACATATATAAAAAGAACATTAATATAACACTCACTTCTATTGTATTACATGTATGTTAATGCAAATTTGTTTACTTTGACAAATAAAAAATATCTAAATAAAAAATAAAATAAAATGAATATCTAAAAATCATAGAGATAAAAGTTTGAAGCTGAGATACATTGTTTCTATAGATATAGTTGAATAATTCCCTTTTATCTTTGAGAAGACTTTAACATACTATTATATTTCACATAAAGCTGCACTATTTAAAATTTGATGTCATGCATTCTGCACATATACTTAAAAATAAATGGGTTTTATATATTTATTTGACAGGTGATATGGTGTACAATAGTAAAATTGGAATTATAAGAATCATGTTTAGAATGTAGGTTTGATTGAGGTTATGTGAGTATTAGCAAAGCATTTTACTTTTCCTCTACTCAGTCTTTTATTAATAAAATATGTGCCTGGGGATAATGCCTACCTCACCAAATTGTTACAAGGATTAAATAAAACAAAATATGTAAAAATATTTTAAGTTAATTCCTATGTAAATGTTACTATTACTAGTCTATGACACCCAATATTTATTTTCCACTACTTTTCATTTTAACTTTGTTTGTAAAGAAAGATTTTTATTTCAAAAACAATGATAATTTTCCCTTAATATTCACTGAATTTAAGACTGGAAATCAGAGTTTATATGGATAATTAATTTGCCATATATTACTGCGGGAAGTTTAAGTTTATTCCCTTCATCAAGGGAGTAAACTCTCTCTTATGCTTTTGTGTTTTCATTATCCAATACTTGAACCTCCCTCTTCCTGTTTCTGTAAGACTAGAGGAGGGAAAGTGGAAACCTCAGGAAAAGAGGAAGAGAAACCATAGTTTTTTCTTCTTCATGCCCACACTAAGCTTTCATATTTTGTGTTTGGATAAGGTAGTCAATTACCTCATTAGAGTATTATTTAATAAGTATTTTCACTAATAGCATGCAACATTTAGATACTTTTAATAGATTGTTTTTAATATTCTTAATTTTTCTGACAATGCAACAATTGAGAAATTCATAATTAAAATAGATGTAAAGTACATGTGAAATATTTACACTTATAATGACATAGTAACTAGAGTGCATTATGGAAACACAAATCTATGAATGAAGTGATTTGGAGTTTACAGAATTTTCTGAGAGACATACCATTACATATCTTTAGAGTCTGTGGCTAAAAAAATTAGAAGCACCATGAGTATAAAGACTAGCATTTACAAATCTTAACCATTAACATGTGAAATTTGTGTGAAGAGCAGAAACTTTCATGTTTCCTAAAATAGAGTATTGCTTTACATTTCAATTCACAAATAAAGACAGAAAGATCATTTCCCTCTTCCCACAGGTTAGTTGTAAAGTGTCTCAGTTTATCCACCTTTACCTGATGGGCTGCAACTACTTCTGGATGCTCTGTGAAGGCATTTACCTGCACACACTCATTGTGGTGGCTGTGTTTGCTGAGAAGCAGCACTTGATGTGGTATTATTTTCTTGGCTGGGGTAAGTGCCCCTACATACATCTGCTGATTCAACTGTTTAAGAAAGGTTTGAGAGGTATAAGGCTTTTTTTTTTTTTTGTAATAACAATATAATTTAATATACCAGTGACTAGTTTAGGTTGACTGAATATATAGTGACTAAAAAGTAAAATGAGAATCATGAATTAGGGATCTAGTCTCTTCCTAGTGTCAATAAATGAATAAAGCTATGAAAAAAATGTATTTGTTTTCCACATAAACTCTTGACATGGAATTGTTCCCAAAGCAAAGCACTGACATACTCTGGTGTATTTTAAAAAGTAGCTGAAATATTGTAAAATGTATAAAATGCACAAACTGAATTCAACAAGACTAGTTTCCCAAAACATGAGTAAAATAACTTTTACTTATTTATCATATGTTTAGATCAAGGTAAGGAATAGATACAGCTATAAAGAGGTTTGTGTATACATAAACACAATTTTTAGAACATTCTAGATACCTTTATCAAGCATTTCTTCATCTGATTTTGAAAAGCTATGATTTAGAAGGTTAAAACCATGCAAAATTGCTGGTATAAAACATTTTTCTTCCTTCTTTTCAACAGAAAATGACTTATTATTAGTCTGTCTCTCATAGTAGATATTCTTGTCAGGCTCACATTTTCCCATTTTAGATTGTATACTAAATATTAGCCAATTTCATCTCTTAGACAATATATAAATACTGGATTTCTTCTAGGCTTTGGCATTCAAGCAGCACATTTATGCACTTAAGCTTTGAGGTCCACCAACTCAAAATGACTTATATTAGAAGAAAATTTACACCTACATACACACAAACACAAAAATAAAAATACATAAAAGTATATTGTACTCATTGCTTGGCCATACAGGTAATATTTACTCAATAAACATATAGTGGTCAGTTTTTTTTTGCTCCAAGAATATCTCTGACTTTCATACTTTATGACTATTTTAGGAGTTGCATCTATAAAGAAAACTGCCTGTTTTAAATTTTGTTCTCTTGTATCTGTAGGATTTCCACTGATTCCTGCCTGCATACATGCCATTGCCAGAAGCTTATATTACAATGACAAGTAAGAGACTCTCTACAGTTTCTATTAGAGTTAAATGAAACATAAATCTTCAACATAACATCTTTATTTTTTCCCTTAGTTGCTGGATCAGTTCTGATACACATCTCCTTTACATTATCCATGGTCCAATTTGTGCTGCTTTACTGGTACGTAATTAAGGTTTTCTTTTATCTCAACACTGCTCATATTTGTGAATCTTCTGGCTGTGTTACATTCTTCAGGGTCTCCATTGTCAGAAATGGAAATGATGTCCTCACAGTGCTTAACTTACTAGGGTCCATTGGAGACCTTCTATTTGAGGTGTGGGCAATAAAGGCCACACCTTTTTATAAGGGATGGCAATGTAACAGGGACCAAGCAGGAAGTAGACATCAGAGCGAGACATAATGAGGGGACAGAGTGTGTTAATGGAGTTGGACAAGTGCTGGGAAGAGTTACAGGACCAATGCTGGCCTTGGTTTCAGGAAAAATCCAGCATAAAACAATAGCATCAATGAGAAGGAGCAACAGAAGAAATACTGAAGCTTCTCCCTCCTTCCATAGTCTCATCTTTTTTTGACCAAATACAGCCAATGTCAGAGGGCAATAAAGTACGAATGAAGATATCATCCCCAGATGTAAAATCCTGGGGCACAGAACAAGAGAGAAGATGGGTCTGATAAATTAGGAGGGCAACTAAGAAAATATCATTCTCAAAAGTATATAATAATTAAGAGGGTAAATTCTGATAACTGATTGCCTGGGTTTAAATTTCACTTGTTCCTCTATTTGCTGTGTGACCTTAGGCAATTAAACTAATCATTCTGTGTCTCAAATCTGTCATTCTAAGGAATATAAAAATGGTGACTTTTATAGCAACAATTAACTGTCTGAAAGTGAACAAAACCCAAGAAATCCCATTTGTTATACGTATAAGCACTCATACGCATGCATGCAAACAAATAATGAAGGAAGTTAAAGATCTCTAATGAAAATTATAAAACTGATAAATAAATCATAGAGGACACACACACTATTGAAAGATATCCCATATTCATGGATATTTACATCCAAATGATTTTCTACAAAGGTTCTACAAAGGTTCCAGTTTCATCAATAAACAGAGATGGGAAGAGTGTATAAACAAATGCAGAAGAATCAAACTAGACCCCTACCTCTCACCATATGCAAAACTCAACTAAAAATTTATTGAAAACCTAAATGTAAAACTCAAAGCTTTGAAATGCTTAGAAAAAAATAGGGAAAACACTTTAGATATTAAGATATATATATATAAGAATAAGCAACAAAAGCAAAACTACACAAATAGGATTACATCTAAGAATCTTTTGCATGTCAAATAAAGCAATTGATAAGTTAAAAGACAACCTTCAGGATGGGAGAAAATGCTTGCAAACTATTCATCTCATACAGGATTGATATCCAGGACATATAGAAACTCTAATAACTTAGTAAAAAAATACAAGTCTATTTTAAAAGAGGGCAAATTATCTGAATAGATATTCCTCCAAAAAAGATATACAAAGGCTAGTGAGCATTGAATAAAAAATTTCAACATCACTAATCATCAGGGAAATGAAAATCAAAATGACACTTAGACATCATCTCTTCCTAGTAAGAGTGACTATCATCCAAAATACAAAAAATAACAAATTTTGATAAAGATGTGGACAAAGAGGTCCTCATACACTGTTGGTACCATATGGAAAAGAATATGGCGGTTTCTCAAAAAACTGAAGGTAAAATTACCATATGATTTGGCAGTTATACTTTTGGGCATATATTCAAATAAAATGAAATCATTGTGCTATACCTGCACACTCATGGAATTTGCATACATAAAAGCCAAGATACAAAATCAATCAAATTGTTCACCACAGATGAATGGATAAAAAATAATGTAGCATATATTCACAATTGAAAACTCTTCAGCCTTAGAAGGATGAAATCCTGTCTTTTGCAGCAACTCGGATGGTACAGAAGACACTATGCTAAGTGAAATAAACTAGGCACAGGAAAAGAAATACTACATGTTCTTACTCATTAGTGGGAAATAAAAAGTTGATCCCACAGAAGCAGAGAGTAGAATGGCTAGGAGGGGTGGGTAGGGGCAATAGTGGGAGAGTGGATATCAAAATATAGAGGAAGGAGAGCAGTTCTCATGTTCTATTCACCATAGGTTATCAAGAGTCTATAGCAATTATTATACACCTAAAATTAAGTAGGAAAAAGTTTGGAGGTTCCCAACACATAGAAATGATGATATTTCAAAAACTCAAAATGTTAATTACTCTGATTTGATCATTACATATTTTAAATTATGATAATGTACCATAATCAAATGTACGAATATTATCAATTTAAAAATAATAACAAATAGTGATTTTTACAGGTTTTAGAAGTAATATATAAAATATGCTTAGCCTGACATGTAGAAAGCATATACCAAGTGTCAAATTCTGGGTCTGTGCCTTGTCCCACAGGACAGTCAGTTAAAAAACCAACATTTTGAAAAATATTCTTTAAGAAAATCTCAAAGGCAGATGTACTTCCTTTTCATGCACCCTCCACATACTAGGGACATGTGTGACACACTGTGTTGAAGTGTACTCTGGTACTGCCTGGCTTTGTATTCTTTGTACTCAAAGAGCCAGCTCTGCATCTTGGCTCCCTTGCTGACTGTGTATCTCAAGGCAAGTTCTGCTTTGTTTTGTTTTTAACCTCTCAGTGACTTTGTTTCCTCATCTATAATGAGGGAATAAGGAGCATACTTCACAGGGTCTTGCAAGGATTAAATAAGATACTTCCTGCTAAGTGATTAGAACAATGCACCAAATACAATAAACTGAAAAAAAAAAAAAACACTTCAAAAAGTTTCTTCATTGTAATTTCTACATGTTATCATGGTTCTGTTCTTGCATTGAATTGTCTGTTCTAAGCAGAGCTCAAAGGAATTAAATGGGTTGTTAGGGCCACCCATGAGCTTCCAGAACAAATACAAGAAAACATTTTATTCCAGAGATCTGACTGTACAGAGAATTATGTGATCCAAACTCCTAAACCAGAAAGATTTGAGAAGTTAAAACACCTAGCAAATACAAAATGTAATAACAGCTAACCCAATCCTCAGAAAATCCTGTTCACATCAACTTTAAGAAAGAATAGATGGCCATGGTAAAATTTAAGAATATAGCCCATCAAGCTGCTCAGCAAGAGAGGAAGTGAAAATTCACTCTATTTGCAAAACATTTTTGTATCTTATTGGCCTAAAACAAGATTAGAAGCCTGTTTTTCTACCATTTTAAATTATCCTGCCCTTGTTTAAACTGCAGGGTCTCCCACTGGTTCTGCCAATTCCAAGGTCCTGGGCGGGGCTCTAATAATTGTTCATATGGCCCAATGTCTTTGTACAACTTTTATAAATAACATATTTTAACCACAATCAGTTTCTTTCCATTCAGACTTCCTCTATCACATTTCCCTTGAGCAGGGTGGTATTAGAGTGATTGCAACACTTTCAGATCCTGCCAAGGGGAAGCTGAGAGAGGATACATTTAATTTGAGTTCACTGGGAGATATTTAGGTCACTTCAGGGCATAGTTAAGGAATTGCTGGCCATCCTTGTATGAGAGTGGCTTCCAGGAACCCTTCTATAGACACTGCGCGGATTCACCGTGTGTTCTTCCATGACCCTAAGGTAGTTTGCTAATATGAAAATGTCTTGTTTCTATCTTGCTCTTGAATTTTATGGGTATCAAAGTAGAAACAGGCTTCTCTTTATAACTAGGTTGGTTCCAAGTTGGATAAAATTCAGAAACAGTTCATCTGAAATTTGAAATTCTTGTTCCATTTTTGTTCATAATACATAGAAATATTTACAGAAAATAAAATAGGATATGATAATTATGTGGAAATGGTGTGGAAACAATGTCCAATTCACTCTAACAAAACTCTTCACAGAGTCACTAATATAAAGATTAACTCCAATGTCAATTCTCATTTCTAGTTTCATGTTTTAAATAAAGACTTGCCACTTAGAGAGGTCTTGGTGTTTAAAAAGCTTTTGTGGAGCCCAATTGTAACATTTCTACTGTATTTTTTAAAATGATTTATGAATTTATTTATTAAGATTATAAAATATTCTATAATTTATAAGCAGATAAAGGATATTGTTACCTTTTATTCTTTGGATTGATAGTGATTTCTTTTTGGTTGAAACTTTCAAATATCAACGAATGCTTGGAAGGGCCTGTAGGAGGAGGAGTATAACAGCTGGCTTGCCAATTTGTCATGTTTCATTGTTACACCTGTTCAAATGGCTTACTCTGCTTTTGTCTTTATTCTGCCTTGTATCTTTTCCTGTGTTTCTGAACATGTTCCTTTTCACAGATGTGTCATCACCAGGATTCTAGTGAGCTGTGTACTTTTGAAGCATATATTGCCATTGAATTGTCCCATGGCATAGAATATTTTTATGCCTGATTATTTTTGTAACAGCTGTCTTAAATTAGCAAATGCTATGCTACTCTTTTCCACATTAAATGAGAGATTACTGTTATTTTTCTTATTTTTTTAAATTAAGGTACATGGATACAAATTATGTATTGGTCTATAGTTTGAAAGTTTAAGATTATAAAATATGACAGATGTTTGAAATCAGGGTGAAAACAAAGGAAAGACAAAAGCAATTAGCCCCTATGAGGCTTTTCTGAAGTTCATATTCAGAAGCCTATGAAAGGCATAAAGGATAAGAGTACAGGAAAAAGACAAAAGTAAACAGTATTGACTTGAGTGAGTAAAAGAAAGAACATGACATTGGAGCAGGGATTCTTTCCTGAGTTATCTTATATTATCAAAGTTTTATGTCTCTCTTTCAAAGGGAGTGTTGTCTCTTGGGGAAGTTACTGAGGCATAGGAAACAGCAAATATGCAATTACAGAAAGTAACTTTAGAAAGTCCCATGGGATGCCAAGCGCTCTTGTTTCTAGGATGATCTGGAGCTCATGATGTGGTTTCCGCTCATGACATGGTCTCAGCATAAGGATAAAGAAGACAATATAGCACTATCTTGGAGAGTTGTTTTAATAATTATTGTTACAAAAGAATCTTATAAAGATCATTATTACAAAAATAAAGGAAATAAACT